TCCTTGGTTCCTGTGATCGCCTTGCCTTCTCAATTATGTCCAGGAACACGCACTTTCGCTTCTATCAGCAATATATATATATATATATCATACTGGACAGATGATTTGTGTCATATGTCTACGCCTAAACAGATGAGACCTTCTGAAACTTAAAATGGTTCTTCTCAGGGTTGTATTTTGTCATTTTTACGCCTTTGAAATTGCAACCACGTTTGTTATTGGCTTTTTAGCAAATCGCTCAATCGCAGCCCACTGCCCCAATGGTTGAAGAGCTCTGCTCCAAGGCAGAGTCCAAAGAGGGTGAAGAACTTCGCAGTCGGTGGGTAGAGGTGAAGAGGGGACTTGGTGCCAGAATGAAGATCCTGCACAATCTGTGCGAGAACCACGACCTTCTCATTGTGAGTCTCCTTTGACAGGGCATGCTTCATTATCATCATTTAGGCAAATAAATCATGAGTTTAATAGCTACTGCACTGCAGGGTGAATAGAAAACAGGAAAGGGGGAACTGTGTGTTATCTTCTGCAAATACAGTCACATGACTGGTGGAATTCTATCCGCAAGCAATCCAAGGTCAAGGTTAGGTTTTTGTCTGTCAGCCTTCTTTGTGGTTATGACTGGTTGCTGACAAAAAAGGTAATGGAAGGGTGTACTCCGTCTTTGCTGGTATTAATGGAAGATTTTGGGTTTTCCAAACACCTTATAAATATTCCTATTAAAAAGCAAGATGCGACCCCTAAAACCGTATGGAGAAAAAAATACGAAGATGGAGGGAGAGAAATGGTAAAACGGGAACCTTTTGGATAACGCAAGACCTATTTATTCGAATGTTTAAGGAAAGAACAATCGAAGGCTTGTAAGAACATTGTTATCCTTCGAGCGGAGAACATGTGATGCCGTAACTGCACCACTTGACCTTAGGGGGCTGGTTTAAGCGGATTTTTCCTCAACCATTAGAATAATTTAATTTGAGTTGACCCAAGTGTGAAAAACTCTAGGCGTTTGGCGGGA